AACCAATCAAAATTTAATGATCTGCAAAATTAACTAATTATAATTGTATATTTGGTTGTATATGCATATTTATTTGTGCATTACATGAAAAAATATATAAACAAATACTCTATTCTTAAGTGGGTTCTATGCTCTGTACGTATATTGAATCTGATTGTACAAAAGGGGCTTTTGCTCGCCAAACACTTAATTACTCGAATGAAATATTTAATTAAATTTTTTACTGTATCTAAACAAGGCAAATGCCTTGAGGCAGTGCAAGCATCAATTAAAGCAAATCAATTGAATAGAAAAAAGGTAAATTCAAAGTCAACAGGAAGCGAAGTCTAATCATATCAATTATTTATAGATTGAATATTATTAATTGAATTGTTTTAATTTTTTAAGAATGTTGTATTTCCCTAATTTATAATCAATTTATATTTAGAATAAAGATAATACTTTGTTGCAAATACAAAATAATATTGTGATCTGTTAGAATTCTACTTATTATGCATGAGTTCGAATGCTCAAACTCAAACTTTATATTGAGATACTTGCAAGTTTACTTACTATTCAGCAAAAGAAAGATGCAGTCACAGATGAAAAATGTCTAAAAGCAATTATGATTACTGAGGATGAGTAGGCTGCAGTTGCTAATAGTATTAACATTTTAAAATTTTCTAATAATATAACAAATTATATATTAGGCAGTTCATACTTAACTATAAGCATTATTTACCCAACAATGAGCATCCTTCGGGATGCTTTACTAAAAGAATTTGATAAAGATATTAGTGGTAGTTCTATTGATGAATTAACAGATCTTAATTCTAGTTTAACAAGTAGATTTGATGATAAGGAGGTATTGGATGAGAATGAAGATGCAGAACAATTCAATTGTCTAGCTGTTATAACCGATTTGGTTAAACGTATTAAAAAAACAATGTCCAAGTTATTTGTGAAGTATTATAAGGTAATATTTTTAGTATATTCTTATTATTTTTTGTTTAATCCCATAACTGATTATCATGAGATATATTACTTTTATTAATCGAATTTAGATTAATAAAATATATATTGTCTACTATATTTTATTTCTGTCTTATTATTATAAATTGTATTTGAAAATTTGAGAATTCTCTAATCGATCATCAAAATGATTAATTTTTATAATTGATCAGAGAATTTTCAAATTTTTAGACAGATATTTTCATAGCTAATTCTTATTTTTTCTCTTGAACTTTTTTTCATAAAATAATATGACTCTTCTAATTATTTAAATAAATATTTATAATATTGTAATTTTCTGATGATAAGATATTATTTACTGTAATGGCAATTGATCCAAGATGCAAAAATCTTGAATATAAGAGTACTATATTAACATGCCAAGATTATCTTAAGTTGGAATATGACCAAATAATAAATGATGAAAATTTAGAATCATTATCAAATGAAGTAATGTTTGATCTGTCTGAATCATTTATATCAACAGTTTTTATAACAGTTCAAAAAAATTTGATATACAAAAATGAGGTTAATCAATATCTTATTATGGAAATGATTGGACCTTTGGACAATCCTTTACAGTAGTAGGTGATTTACAAAAATACTCTTTTGAGATTAGCAGGCCTTGCCCACAAATATCTTGCAATTTCTGCTACTTCCATCCTTTGTGAATATCTCTTTTCACAATGTGAAAATGTAATATTTAAAAAAGAACTCAATTATTACTTCAGACATTTAGTAAATTAGCTTTTTGTTATGCAAATCAAAACTGATATGATACAATATTTCCAAATATTACAAATATTTATTTGTTCTAAGGTAATTCTATTTTAACTTGATTTTAACTCTTATATCATATCTAAGGAATACTGTGCTATTTATCTAATAATTTTAATGTTATTTTATATCTGTCTTAGTGCAAGTAAATTTTAGTTATAGAAAATTTAAACAGTATTTAAGTAATTTATTTAATGCTGCTTGCTTTGGATATATTAAGCTTTAATGTATATCTAAAATTATTTTCAATATTTGGAGGAAGTCAGTAGAAATGGGACAAATTTTTTTTAAGTAAAAGTTTTCTTAACTTTAAATTTAAATATTTTGTTAACTATCTTATTAAATCTAATAAATTTTTTTTTTATTTTAATTTCAGGTAATTCTAGAATTAAAATAAAAAAAAATTTATCAAAATTAGTTAAGTAGTTGTCAAGAAATTGTAATTTAAAAATTAAAAAAAATTCACTAAAAATGATTTGTCTCATTTTTACTGACTTCCCCCCATTTTATTATATATTAGTAATAATGAAGAATTGGCGATAAATTAGAAAGAATTCATAAACAAATAAATAATTTAGATAAAAACAAATCTATTTCAATATGGGGAATATAAAATAATAATAAATAATTTTTCAGAATCATTTATACTCAATATATGAATGTTACAAAAAGAAAATCCTAAAATTTTATTTGATAAAATCTTAGGTGGTTTTTTTTTGTTATGAAGAATAACCCATAATTTATTATGCTTGTCTGTTAAGTTTATAATGACTGATTAAATATTTCATAAGTATATGTTATTATTTATATGATATATTTACATTATCTAGCATTTTAAGATTTAAAAAATTTCTTCACAAATTCAAAAGTATATTTTATAAATTCAATTTTATTTTAATAGATATATTTATTTACTTTATTCGTTACAATCATTATTATACAAATGCTTAGATTTAATATCATATATATATTAGATAATAGAGGGTTGTATTCTGATTTACATCAAAATAGATCTTTTATATACAATCTATAATCTCAAATATTACGAAGAATTAAATAGCCATTACATATAATATATACAGTATGTATAAGGATCATTAAAAAAAAAAAAAAAAGATAAAGTTATCTATATTAATTCTGCCTAGTAGCTATAATTCTGTCTATCCTATAACGCATTTTACTAAATCTTCTATTTTTAAAACAGCTTGAAGAAATCTAAATGTACAAAAAGTAAACCAACAGTTGGTTTTAATATAGACCTTGTTTGCTCAAATAGTATAAAATATTTGCTAGTAAGGTCAATAAAAGTATTATATTAGTCTCAGCTTAATTTTTTTAATGTATAGTGATTATATATGTGTTTAGTATGCATAATGTATATTATACATATACTATTTATTAAAATTTTTTGCGCAGAACATAATTTTGCAAAGTATCATGTATCTTATATAAGATCACAAAATTATCATACTATAGTAGTAATTTCATATAACTTGTACAAAATAATATTATATCTTGCACTAAATAAATTATTTGATCAGAAAATTTTAATAATTAGTGATTACCAAATATATACATTTTCTAAAGGGAACTTTTGTATATATCTTATGAGAAGTTACATAATATAATTTTGCTAAATTCATCTCACAAGATATATATCTCTAATTATAACCAATCAGAATATTGTGTTCAATCAAGGTATAATAATCGATCATAGTGATCGATCTAATATGACTGATTAAGACATGTTGATTGATCAAAGTATCGATTTATTATGTATACAATTGATTAATGATCGATTAATGAAAAGTTAACTGATCTTCATCTCTAATTTGCTTTAAAGACTTAGCAGGCCTTAGCAGCAGGTTTCTTTTTAAGCAAGATATCTGATAGCATGAAGTTGATCAGAGAGTTTAATTGAATAACTTAAATAATAGTGGGTTGCAGGTATAGCATCTAGTGTAGAATCTAGTAATAGATAAACTATTTAAATTAAGTACTTAAAAGGTACAGATATAGCTAGAATATACTTTCGTTAATGTAATAAGATTAGGTACGATCTATGTGACTGTGCTGATATCAACCCAAAAGTTTAATAAACCATGCCAGACCTGTGAGTAGTCACCTTAATATTTACAAAAAAAACAAAATTTATTTAATAGTCTATTTTTTAAATTTCTTTTCTAAAATTTCTTTATTAAGTTTATATAATGTTCTCAATAACTATTGATTATAAATTATTTTTGTATAATTCTATTTAAAAATACGTTTTAAATTCTTGACTATAGAATACCAGTTTCCTATACAAAATTTCTCACATCATTATTCCAAACAAGTGAATGCCAAATGTTGTTGTATATTGACATCTGTTTAAATTTCTGATACTATATATAAAGAACTTTACAGCATTTTTTCTAAATGCTATATTTGTTAATATCGAATATCCTAAATTTGCAATATAATTACTCTAAAAAAAATTAGTTGAAAGTTTTAATTTAGAAAGTATATTCAAAAATATAATAATAAGTAACTTACTTTTGATCTACTACTCGAAATTTTCTATAATTCTATTACCAATTCTGTATTTATTTTATTTTATTTTTTTAATGTTAAAGTGACTACTTTGGGTTTGGCATATTTTATTAACTTTGATTGTAAATGCTAAGGCAACTATATAGGTTATTCTGATTTTATTATAATAATGAGCATATATTCTAGCCATACCTGTGCCTTTTAAGTACCTAATTTAAGTAGTTTGTCTATTATTAGGTTCTATACTAGATGCTGTATCTATAATCTACTATTATTTGGATTACCTAATTAAACTCTCTGATTAATCTAGTACTGTCAGATATTCTCCTTAAAGAGAAACTGCTGCTAAGGCTTCTTAGGACTACTTTATCCTTGTAGTAAACCTGCTAGAGCCTTCTGTACTTAAAATTCAGCTGATCTAGTTTTCTAGTTGATATGTATGAGCTATGGCTTATCACTTGCAGCCCAGTTCCATTGCAGAAGTATTCTTCAGCTGTTTTGTAATTGCTAGTTTTTTTGTAATAATTTAACTATACTATGGTCTAATTATTATTATACAATCTACTCCTTGCTCTTATAAAGTTCACTTAGACCCCAGTATCTCTTTCAAGACAACTTAGTACTTTCTTTTTTCAGTATCCTCTAACTAGTCTTCCCAGACTACCAATTCAGATAGCCTAAAAGAGATACCAATCTCTTGATATCTGCATTGCAGATCTTTTTCTTCTGATGTTCTGACAGCCTGGTTGATAGAATATCTCTTTCCAAATACCCAGTCCTCATTCAATTATATTAGCCTTAGATGAAGCTTATTTCAATAATATTATTGAAAGTCTTTGCTATTTCTCTATTCAAGACTTGCCAAGTAAATACCCTATCATCATATTAGCTTTGTAGATTTCTGTCACTTTGACGAACTTATCAAAAGTTTGCACTAACTAAACCAGCTTGTATACCTTTGTGTAATCTTTTATTACACAAATACTTTAGAATCTTCTAATTATTATTTTGGTACAACTACAGTTACAAAATCTTAAGTTTTTCCAACTACAACACTAGTTGCTGAATCTGTTTTTTCTAAATTCAATTTTTGCTTTTTGTGAAAATTGATTTTGTACTTAACTGCTTGGGGGTGCAATAACTTCACCACTTTACTAAATTGCTATACTCTTATTCTATATTTATAATGAATAGCAGTTTTAAAAAATTCAATAGAATTATCCAGCTCAGTTAACATCAAAAAATATATAAACACTTTATACTTATCAAATTTAATACCAATTTCTAAATAATGACAATAATTAAAAAAAAAAAAATTAGACTTAATATTTGTCTTTAAGCTTGAGATTAACAGAAATGTTGGTTTTTCAGATATCACTAAAATTTTCTGTTTTATCTTTTTTGTATGCTAACAAAAAATGAAGCTAAAACCATTAAAATAAACAATAAAACCTGATAAATTTCAAGCCTTTCTGATGAAAATTCTCATCTAAAGTTGATAAATATAGCAAAATCAATAAAAACAAGACAGTGACTATTCTTTGTCATTATATACAGTATTATACAGTATATATATATCTAGTCTTTTACTTTTATTGTAAGCAATAGTTAAGCTTCATATAAATTAACCAATCACTAGTCATATATAATTATTTAAACAAATAGTTAGTTTTAATGTATGTGTGTATACATATATCTGGCTAAAAAAAAAATGTTTTATATAGAAAATATTGAGTTACGATTTACCAAAACTGTTTTTAAAAATTATTAATATTAAACAGTAACAAAGTAGATTTCTAAATCTAATAAGAAGCTTTTTAGATTTTATATAAGAAAATAAAATTTCTGTTATTTTTACTTAATGATAATAGTTTTGCATATCTAAATAATCTTTTTTTATTTATTTTGAATTTGCTGTATATATGATAAGATTAGTTGCAAATTTGTATCAAAATGATATTAATTTTAAACTATCTATTATATCCTGTATAACCACCTAAGTGTAGCAAAAACACCTTTAATTTTCTATTTATAAACTAATTTAAGACTAGCTACCATTAGTTATAGAAGGGGAAAGAGGAAGCCCAATCTAAATAATCTAAATAAGCAGTAATAAAAATATTTATTATTATATATATATATGTATATATGTATATATATATATATTTAGCAATTTAATCAATTAAAAATATAATTAATTTTGCTGATCTCCTAGCAAAATTTTCAAAAATGCTGGAATAAGCTATACTATATTTGATTCTATATTGTTAAAGTTA